TTCAACAGATAGCAAGCAATCAGTGTTGGAAAGGAGGTGAGGAGATAGAAACTGTCATATGCTGTGTGGAATTGTAAATAGATACAACTACTCTGGAAGGCAATTGACATTTGGAAGGTATTAACATTTCCTCAATAAGCTGAACATAGAAACTCCATATGACCTAGCTATTCCACTGGTAAGAATATACCCCAAGGAGATTAGGAGATTTATACACCAGTGTTCATGGCAGCATTATTCACAATTGCAAGAACATGAAAACAGTCCAAATCTCCAGCCACAATCTAATGGATTGCAAAATTGTGGTTTATTCACACCACAGAATACTACACAATACTCAGGAGCAACAATTTCAAGTTATGTACATGTGCTACATAACTTGGGAGAGATTGAAGGTCATTATGCTGAGTGTCAGTATCCTAAGAAATACTGGATAAGACCATTATTGTAAAAATAGAAGGATAACTAGTAAAAAAACCTAAATAAATACTACTATGCATCTGGTTTAAGCCACAGTCGCTCAATTACTTCCCATGTAACTGAAATTTAGACAGTGATGAAGAATGACAGAAGAATCAATGCCTTTGACTCATGGTTTTGGACAAGAGTACTGCATATCTCATGGACTACCAAAAGAACAAACACTTATGTCTTGGAGAAAGTAAAACCAGAATGTTCCTTAGAGGCCAGGATGATGAAACTTTATCTCACATACTTTGGGCATATTGTGAGGAGGGAACAGTCCTTGGAAAAACACATCACGCTTGGAAAGGTAGAAGATTAGCAAAAGACAAGAATACTCTCAACAAGATGAACTGACACGGTGACTGCAGCAATAGTTTTAAGTATATCAGGGATGTTGAGGTTGGTGCAGGATAGGAAACAGTTCATAGGCTTTGCTCATATAGGGTTGTTATGAGTTTCAGTCAACTCAACAGCACCTAACAACATCAACATCCCCTGACAAAACAACAAGCAAAACAATGTCATCCAGTCAATTACACCACTTAGAAACCCTGTAGTAAAAAGTAGAACGGTCCTACAAGGTTTCCAAAGTTATGATCTTTAATGGAAGCAGATTGACTTATCTTTTTCCAGGAGAGCAGATGATGCATCAGAACCTACAAGCTTTGAGGTAGCAAGTAAATGCCTTAATCACAGCCCCACCAGACCTCCTGGATGATTTCTAATTCTATAGGAAGACATGAAGATAGTTATCTAGACATTGTTTGTTATGTCATTGTACCTTCTGAGTACAAATCTTAGGGTGGTAAACACTATGTGATGGGTAGACAACCAATGACTCTCTTAATCTTTGAGGTAAAAATGGCAGAAAGCCCAACCAAAGTTGACAAACTATGTTGTTGTTGCTGCTAGATTCGATCCCTATGGACAACAGATCTGAACTTTGCCCAACCTGTGCCATCCTTATGATCTTTCATCTGTTCAAACCCATTGTTAATATAAAAACATATCTAATTTTGCCTGAGAATAGGCATTATGATAAGTGCAGTGGCCTAATAATAGTTTATTCTGGTTTTACTAACATTCCCTTCTTGGTAGCATCAAAATGGAGAGAAACCTCCTTTGCAAGTGTCACTTCCATAAGCATGTTGTTGTTGTTAAGTGCCATCAAGTTGTAGATGACTCATAGCGACCCTGTGAACAAAAGACCTGAACACTTGTATAACTTTTATCATTTCTCCATGTTCATAGAGTTTCTGGAGGCAAGCTATTTCAGAAGTGGATGCCACTCCTGCTTCCCAGCTTGTTTTAATCAGGGAGCTCCACCAAACACTGCCCACCATGGGTAACCATTATCACATTTGACACATCAGTGTCACAGTGTTTAGCACCATAGCAACCACGAGATATGCATAAACTTCTCTTAACACAAAGACAAAAATGGCCTTTGGTGACCTGGCATCTATGAGTTACTCTTTGAGCCAAAATTTTCTTCACATTTAATGACTTTGCATTTCTCTTGTAAGAGGCATTTAATAGATTTCTTTTTTAAATTCAGTCTAAATAAGCTTGGACTTTTGACTGAGAAATTTAAGTAAGTCACATTAATTTACAAAACCATTCTATTTGGGCTTATTTATGCCTTTTTTAATTTGAGACTTTGAATTTTGGTATTAGCAAAGAGTAGTGAAACTATATGGACTTCCAGAAGTACCAGAAAATTCCAAACTATCCTGGGGGGAAAAATGCCATCAAAATTCTCCTAGAAAAAAACAGTCATCAAGACGTTCATAAGAAGTGAAGATGGCAATACTTGTCTCACTTACGTGGACATGTTGTAAAAAGGGACCAATACCTGGAGAAGAATATTATGTTTGATAGAGTATGTCAGCAAAAAAAGAGAAAGACTTTCAATAAGATTATAATTGTTGCTGTTGTATACAGTTAAATCAGAATTGCCTCATAACTGACCCTCCCGGGAGTTTTCAGAGGCAGTAAATTATGTGAAAGGAGATTATCTTTCTCCTGTGAAGCATCTGTCTGTTGGATTCAAATTGTGTGCCTGCAGACTGGCAGCAGAACTCCTTTCTACTAAGTCACCAGAACTCCCTAACTAATAATAGTTAGTGGCTGCAACAGTGGGCTCAAATACAGCAATGATTGTGAAGATGGTGCAGGAACAAACAATATTTTTTTCTGTTGTACAGGTGGCTCCTATGGGTCAGAACCAACTCTACAGCACAACTAACAGCAACAGTGCATATTACATTTTATCTTCTATTTTTCAATTCTGTTAGCTTTGAATCTGAAGAATAGAAGTAGGAAATATTAACATTTTAAACCAGATAAAGGAGTGGCATACACTTCCTAAATAACATGTCTCTGGAAACTCTATGAACTTTGATAAATGTAGAGGAGCTTCAGGCCTTTTAGTTCATATGGTAGCTATGAGTCATGCTCAATTTGAAGACAATCAACAAGAACAAAGAAGTAGCAACTATGGAAAAAAGGAAAAGTAGACAATATGTTAGCAAAAGTATCACAAAAGACCTTCTGATATCAAGAAAGATAATAGGCCAACAGTTTGGGTAGGAAAGAGATTAGAAATGTCTATTGGTTTTATAATCTTGAAGATAATTGTCATTTTGACAAGACTATTTTCATTGGAGTAGTGGTGAAAAGGCAGTATGAAATGACTACAGAGTGAATAGACTGTGAGGCAAAAAATATTGTGTGGACATAACATACAAAGGAATTTGGATTCTGAAGTGGATCAAAGGGATATTTTTTAAAACTTGAAAAGTTCATTTCAGTCCATGAATGCTCAAGACATGTGTGGAATTAATCTGTCAAAGATATAGAAATCTAATTAATATTCAAGTATCATTTATCCACCCTTTGAATTGAACTAGTAATGTAGCAAAGAGCTAGCAACAAGAAAACCCATAATGCAATGGCACAGTGGCTCCACCAGTGGCACAAACATAACAGTGGTTGTGAGGATGGCACAGGACTGGGCACTATTTTGTTCTATTGTGCTTAGGGGTGATGAGTTGAAACCAAATCAATGATACCTAACAACGACAAATACATTTCTTTATATAAAATGCCTATGGAAGACTGTTGGGAACAACTTGGAGAAATTTCTCACCCTTGTGATAAGCTCTGTCCATGATCTCCATAATGATTGGGCATACCCTTCCTCAGCTATCTTCAACATCATTTCAACCCATATCAAACCATACAGCTTACCTTGGATCTTCATAGGATTATCATGAATTCCCAATTGATCTATGATCCATAAGCAAAGAATGATTTCAACCATATACTATTGGCACTTTACTGCAAAAATATTTACTATATCTAAATCTTTGTGACTTAAAGGATATAAAAGTTAAAATTATGAAACAATTTTTTCCTTTCCTAGTTATATTTTCCTGTATAACAGACATCATTTAATGTATTATTTATATTAAGACATTTTACAGCATATTTTTTTTCCATTGCCTAAAATTTAAGTCTTAAAACAATTCTGGATTGTGTGATTCATTTTCTTCTAGGAACAGATGTTAATCCAATTATATTTTCTTATATAATCTTGGTTGGGAATTTTTAAATAAATAGAAGCATAATTACATTGTATTTTAGCAATCATTTACTGAAAATTCTCTTCAGAAACCATTTAGAAAACTTTTACTTTTTTTGTATGCAAATTGATTATGAGACGTATTTACTCTGAAGCTGAGTAGTCATAAAGATGATATAATTTGAGGGTTTAAAGTCTCTATGATAGAAAAATTGCTACTCTCACTTAATGTAGTTCAGTTTATAGATGATATTTCAACCCCTAAGTCTAATGTCATAATCACATATGGCTATAATATAGTTAACTAGGGTTATACTAGAAGGTAAGTAATTGACATGCATTTAAAAACTAATTATAGAGTCAATATTTCCTCATCAAATGGTGCCACTGGGAATCTTAGAGAATTTTCGTTCTAGAGGAAAGAAAGAATTGAAGCCATACTCAGATAACAGCTACCTACACAATTGAAATATATTGGCATTATATTTTATCAAAGGAGTATATTTATGTTCTTGGGGGGAAATTATGCTAGTAAAAGTATAGTATCAGAAAAAGAAAGGAATACCCCCAATGAGATGGATTAATGTAGTGACTGCAGCAATGGGGTTGAGTATGGCAGAGAGAGTGAGGAAGGTGCAAGTTCTACATAGGGTTTTGATGAGTAATAGTTACTGAGTCTCTGGCCCAAAGACAGCACATCCCTGGGGGTTTGATCCACCAACAGCACCTCAGGAGAAAGATCTACACCCTCTGAAATCCCTGAGAAGGTCAGGTATGAGTCAATTGCTACTAGATGCCATGAGGGAGGGAGGGAGGAAGGGAAGCAGGTGTGTCTGTTTCCAAACATCCACACAGATTCCAATAATAACAAAACCTTCTTGTGTTTTTAAACAATGTCTCATGCCATTTCTTATAGTTTCTTACAAACTCTTCTTTGGTTTCTGTTTAGGACCTGAAGGAGGTCTTTTTGAACATTCAGTGGAGACTCCACTTGTCCAAGCTGACCATTCTCCAGAGCTGAGGTAAGATTTTTGTTCGACTCTAAGTAAACTTTCTTGGAGAAGACACCTGAACATGCTCTATGTTTTGGACTTAGTACCAGGTAGTTTTATTATTCCATTTGTAAAAGATGAGGAGGGGGAAGTGTTTTTCTTCTTTTGTTGTTTTTGTTATGTGCAATCGAGTCATTTGCGACTCATAGCAACTCTATGCACAACAGCCCTAAACCCTGCTCTATCCTGCACCAACCTCACTGCCTCCTACACACCCATCCCGATTACCCCAGTCACCAAATCAATCCATCTCATAGAGGGGATTCCCCTCCTGCACCGTCCCTCCACCCTCCCAAGCATGATGTCCCTCTCCAAGGACCC